GAACTTTACTCACTCATCAATGATATAAATGATTTCTTTGCTGAATCAAATTTTAGTAGGAGAATATTTTTTTCATATTTGCGCTATTCCCAATATGGCAGCTATAGACACGACACACTTTTAATTTAACCTGCATTATTAACATTTTCCCCATCAATGTTTTAAATACAGACAGTCAACAAAACAATAAATCATAGCCTGATTTGTAGCATTTGCCATTGTATGGGGTAAATACTCCTGCCATGGCCTTTTTCAAGCTACCAACATAATGTCATTAAACATATAGTTGGGAAGAGATGTGCAGTAGTACACTATCATATAGTATTTCCACTATATGGATACTATAGTTGTAAATAATCTCAAAAGATGAATGAATGAATAGTAAAGTGTAGCAAAATCATTAGGAAGTTTTGAGTACCTATTATTTTTGTTTTTAATATTGTTTCTTTGTATTTCCATAATTTAAGTTTCAATGACTATGCTTAACAACCTGCTCACAGAATTTCTGAAAATGTAGTAACTGACCTTTGCAAGTTGGTATGGAATAATACCACTGAAATAAAATCTGAATGAGGAGGCTCTGTACTTGCAATGTGAAGCCTACTTTCCATGATAAATTTGGCTTGTGGAGACATGTAGACATGTACCCTTTAATTAATGAAGCTTTTAGAAAAGGGAAACAATGTAAAATGAAAGTTCAAAAGATAGTAAGCAGATATTAATTAATTTGAAATTATGTATTGAGTTATTAATATATTCAAGATGCTGTAATGGGTCCTAGTAATACGAAGGTAAATAAAGATATAATTTCTGCCTTTGGGGAATGCAGAGTCAAGTTGCTGGGCTAGATACGTGGGCAAAGCAGATACTGAAAGGACTATATCATGATGAAACAGAAATATGTTCCAAAGTCTATGGAGAAAGAAGAGAAGGAGGGAAAAAATATTAAATGAGTATTTCTTGAAAGTGCAGGCCTGCATTTTGGAAGAGGTGCCATTTGAATTGGATTTAATGGATGGGAGTGTATTAGGTAAAAATGAAAATTTAAAGCAAAGAATATAGTCTTAAATAAAAGCATGAGACTATAAAACGGAATATGAATGGTTACTCCTAAAAGTCAAATGCTAAAAACCTGTTGTGTAATTAGCATGCCCTAGTTCATCGGCCCAAGGTACAAACACAGTCGCATCATTTATTACTTTCATAACTATTTGTCCTTTTTAACCCTTATTTGCCCTTATTTGGTGGACATGCATCCCTTATTCCTAAGCTTCACCCTGCCCCATGAATTTCTATCAACTCCTGGTTCTTATTCAGACTTAGAGGAAGGGATAATAGTCCTTCATTCCTGCTTTCATACACAAGGTGGTAATACACAGTTGGGTTCCAACATCACAGCTCTCTGACACAGGTACTTTTTCCAAATAAATGGTACCAGATGAACCCAGCTCTTCTCCACAACATTTAGGGCCCCTCATTAGACACTCAGGTGTGAGTTTGACCTCACCTGGCTTGCTCTCAGGATTGACTCTACTTGGCTCCTAGTGCCTAGCCTGTGAGCAGAGCAATGCATAAGAAGGGAAGTGGTGACTTTGCTTAGCCACACAAATTTGTACAATTAAGAGAAACCACTGAAAAGCCTCTTCACAGAACAAAGCACTGCTCAAATTGACTTTCTGTTCTGCCTATATTGAGAAGCAACTAGAAGTTTCCAGATCTCTCTCTCTCTTTCTGTGTGGGGTGACACAGTGAGATATATATAATAAAAATGAAAAAATTATTTTCTGCCTTAACAGGCTTCCTACTTAATGTCTGCTTTAAGAGTTTCCCTATTATCACATTGATAAAAAGCAGAGTGTTCTGTAGTTACTGCTACCACCTATGCTTTATCACTTTAAGAAATTATGTGGAAATAATCTGATCTTTGCAGTGCTTATTCCTTATGTGATCCCAGAGTATTGTAACATTCTTAATCCTTGATTCTGTCTCATCCAATCTCAAGTTTGAAAATACAGTAATACTGATCTCTTTAGAATAGAAATTTGATTACATCAGTCTCCTATTTGAAACCTTTCCCCAACTTCCCATTGCCCTGAAACGGAAGTCTTCAATTTTCCAAATGCCCTACATAGAACAGCGCTGCTCCTGCCCTGGCCTCACCAGGTCTCTATTCTTCCCCTAATCTTCCCTCTACCTGTCCTTCATCTACACTTCAGCTTTAGCCCCTTCAAAATTATTTTATTTCCCCCAAAATTCCCTGGCTTTTTCTCACTCATGCTCTTTCCTCTCTGTCCAGAGTGTTTTTCTATTCTTCTCTCCACCCTCTTCTATTCCTTCCTTGAATTTCACTGTCTGACACACAGCAAGCCCAAATCAAGGCTGGTTAGAGTTCTCCTAGGTGTCGCCATAGCACTGCAGATACACTCGGTACTGGAGACCCAGGCAGGGTGAGGTAGTCAAAGAAGAGGTGAACCAAGATGACTGAGAAAGCAAATTGCTTCTTACATGGGTGCAGGAGTCATTTTTTAGGTGTGGCAACACAAGGCCTGCAGGTAAAAGAAATGAATAATTATAAAATTATGAAAACAGTAAATAAAAGTGAATAAAAATAAAGAGTTGATCTGGGAAAGAAAGGAGGGTGATGAAAGACAGTAATTCACGTTCCAATCAGGAGGTCAATTGGCCTCTCTGCTAAGGAATGTCAGATTCCTTACTTATTATTTATAAGGTCCCATATTTACTAAAATTGTAATGGAAAATTAGGCAATACCTGGAGATTTCTATTTATGGGTTCCAGGCATTAAGTCCCACCTAAAAACTTAAACTTGGTCTTCTAAAGGACAGATGGTGTAAATTATTGATATACACATTTTTAAAACTGTAATACATCTTGTTTCCATTAGCATGTAATGTTAATCATCATAGTAGGTCATATTTTGAGACTTGGTATTGAATTCATGACTACCTTGGCAGTATAACAGATAGTGCTGTTGCAAAAAAAAAAAAATGTGCTCTTATAAAAATGTAAACACAAAGAATATTTTTTTGAAATTGTTTTGTATTGTTGGTTGACACTTGAGGTAGAAACCTGCAATTGATTTCCAATCAATGAAATAGTCATTTATTCATTTTGTAATGTAAATATTCTCTAAAGGAGAGAGAATTTTATACTAAAATATTTCTGTACAAAAATTAATAATAAAGAAACCTCCTTGGAACCTCAGTTTGTCTCTTAAAAGTTTGTAGATATTTTCTGGACTTGCCTTATCTGGTCATCGGTGATGACTATTATATAAAAAATCTGGCTGGGCATGGTGGCTCACGCCTGTAATCTCAGCACTTTGGGAGGCCGAGGTGGGCGGATCATGAGGTCAGGAGTTCGAGACCAGCCTGGCCAACATGGTGAAACCCCGTCTCTCCTAAAAATACAAAAATAAAGTAGCTGGGAGTGGTGGTGCACGTCTGTCCCAGCTACTCCAGAGGCTGAGGCAGGAGAATTGCTTAAACCCAGTATGCAGAGGTTTCAGTGAGCCAAGATCGCACCACTGCACTCCAGCCTGGGTGACAGAGCAAGACTCCACCTCAGTGGGAAAAAAAAATAAACGATATCATACCATCTTAGAAATATTAGAAGAGCAATAATTTTTATGAATTATTCTTAAGCAATGAACATAATTAATAGAATACAATTAATTGTAGCCAAGAAAAATTTTGTCATTGTGAAACTTGTAGAATTAAGTTACAGATACTCATGCTCTAGTTTAGGAAGAGTACATATAAGTGCATTCTGCTTTTCTCTGTGTTTATATTGTAGAATCTCTCATAAGCAAAATTTCAAGACATATTAACTATCAACTCATAGCTTAGCCCTGAGACTTCCAGTACTTAGGAACCTCTTCCTTGCTCCTTAGGGTGACAGAGTTCTCAGGGCCCTCTGGCAACATCCTTAAGTATTTATGATTACCATAAATTGAGAGTTTGCTTACTTCAAATGCCAGCGAAGGTGTTGCTTTTTCATTTTCAACCCTTCACGTGGTGGCCATCCCTGACAGTTTCTTTGCCCAATACAGACTTACAAGACCCCATCTTATCCCTTGATTTCAGGTTCCATTTAGCATTAGCAAGGTCTTAATACTAGTATCTACTGTAATATTTCAGTTCTCTAATGCTGACTGAAGTTTGAGTAAACCAGGTGCTTGTAAAGTGGCATAAAATATCCAGAAAGAAACTTTACCTTCTACAGACATTAAATTTACTTCCACCTTTTAGACAGAGACTTCAATTTACCTTATTAAATAACTGACCAATCTGCCTTCACCATTAAAGCATTCTAAGTAGCATATTGAAATAAACTAATATTCATACTAGTGTAATTGATTTTACCTGTAATGAAAATCCCAAATATTTATTATCATGATTTTTCATTTGTTTTTAATGTGTTTTTCTACCAGAGTATGTGTTAGCTTCTTTAATTCAAATATTATTCTTTATAAATTAAAACTAATTTAATAGCATTCTCTTAGGATCTCGGATTTATGGCTCCTTTTTCTTTGCAGCCAAAGATTTTCTATTTCCCACATTCAAGACTGAGAAACATCTTCTATCTGCCCTATAAAATCTTATGATTAGCAACATTATGTACCCTTTGATATCACACTTTGAGAAGAGCACAACACCTCTGTGGTGTAATTCGCAATCATTTATGACCTCAATCTAATCATGAGAAAACATCAGGCAAACAGAATGGGAAAATGTTCTATACACATCTGACTAGCCCTCTTCAAAATTTTATAAGTAACTCACGTTCCATTAAACAAGCCATGTTGTCGAAAGCACACATTCTATCAATTTGACAAAGACTGAAAATCTCTGAAAAATTATTCTTCTAGAAAGATATTTTATTAAATCAATGAAAAGTGATCAAAATGTTACCTGCCAGTTTGCTAAAATAAGAGTGAACAAATAGTTTTATAACACATTTCCATCACTTCTCTCTGCAGGTGACTCTGCTAATCTAACATGCAGAGCTTTCTTTGGATACAGCGGAGATGTCAGTCCTTTAATTTACTGGATGAAAGGAGAAAAGTTTATTGAAGATCTGGATGAAAATCGAGTTTGGGAAAGTGACATTAGGTAATTTTTTTTTTTCTTTTAACTTGTACAGTCAAGATTAACATTTACTCTGTTAGTGAATAGAAAGTAAGCTGAAAGTAAGTGTTTTACTGAAAGTAAGCTGAAAGGAATATGTTTTCCTATTATCATAATAAAATGCTACTATATTTAATGACAAAGAAGCAAAACACTGTTAAGAGACTTACTATGGAATTGTAAAACATGAATGCCATTTGCAAATAATTAAAAAAAAAATAACAAGGATTGTGTCAATAAGCAATATACTGAGTGTGGCTGGGCGTGGTGGCTCTTGCCTGTAATCCCAACACTTTGGAAGGCCGAGGTGGGTGGATTGCTTGAGGCCAAGAGTTCGAGAGACTAGCCTGGCCAACACGGAGAAACGTTGTCTCTACTAAAAATACAAAAATTACACGGGCATGGTGATGCATGCCTGTCATCCCAGCTACTCGGGAGGCTGAGGCACAAGAATCACTTGAATCTGAAAGAGGCTACAGTGAGCCAAGAATGTGCTACTGCACTCCAGCCTGTGCAACAGAGTAAGACTGTCTCAAAAAAAAGAATATACTGAGTGTGAGATTAAAATACCATAAAATATAGACAATGTGTTAGTGTACCTTTTGTTTATGAGACCTTTTTTAAAAAAAGAAATATGTTCTTTGGGAGGCTGAGGTGGGCGGATCACTTTGAGACCAGCCTGGCCAACATGGAGAAACCCCATCTCTACTAAAAATGCAAAATTAGCTGGGCATGGTGGCAGGCACCTGTATTCCCAGCTACTCAGGAGGCTGAGGCAGGAGAATCACCTGAACCCGGGAGGTGGAGGTTGCAGTGAGTTGAGATCACACCGTTGCACTCCAGCCTGGGCAACAAGAGCAAAACCCTGTCTCACAAAAAAAACGTTGACAGAAAACATTAACAAGGTACAATGACTCAAGCAAACACAATCTCTGTCATTTCCCTTTATATATTTGTGCATATTTGAGCCACCAAGTGGATTATAAGCTGTTGATGGTACTGATAAGGATACACAAAATGTTTTCATCACCTTTCTTAGTCTGACTTTAAGGTCGAAATATTTATATAGTGGGAATGCTACCATGAAAATATTTGAAGGCATAATGCCTAAGCCTCTTTTTTGTTCAATGTGTTTATGTATTTATTCATTTAAGTATCAAGATATTCAATGCTGACTATAATTGTTCTTGGGCATGGATAGTTATTTTTAATCATAATGTAAATATGCAAGAACATTAATAATAATAAGTAAGTTGCAACCACATCAAAATGATGATTATTTCTAAACATCCTCCTATCTAAAGATTGCATCTTCTGGGTATACACAAACATTTTAATCATGGTCCCCCATTCTAAATGTCAAGACTTTTAAGACTTTATCAAAGGCCTAAGAAAAAATGATTTTCGATAGAAAATAACATATGAAACTGTCACATAAGGTTATTTCTATTGAGATCTTCTTTCTGGCAACAAATACACAAGAATATTCTACTCTAGAATGCCCCCATGGGATTCCAGAAGGCCAGATGGACAATTGTCCAATATGTACTGAAACATTTATCTGCTGTTTTTTGTACTTAAAACTTTACTCTTATATTTTATGCATGGTCTATGAAATGCTAAAATAAAGGAAAGACAATGAACCTCCTAACCTTTACCCCCTCTGGCTTTGGGTGTATTCAAGGAAGTTTCTAGAAAGGTGGTTTACTTTAACTCTGCATTAAAAAATGTTGAACAGAGATGACAGTGAGGTTAGTGAGCATTTCCCATTAATTTTAAATGTTAGAGTTAAATACTTTACCAGAACTTTTAGTCTACAGGTTTATAATTTCACATTTCTTCAAAAACAGGCAATTTGTTAGTATCATGAACATAAGTCAGACTGAAAATTTCAACTAAAATGTCAAAATAGCTCAGAAATTTTCTTTTCTTTCTTTTTTAAAATATTAATCTGACATGTAATTAGACCTTCAGCCTGAGACATTAGAATTTTTATCTCAACTTACATAATATTTCTTCTTAAAGGGAAAGCAATTCATAAACTTTTTCTTCAAGGTCTTTCTCACCTCTTTATTATGACAGCGTGATTGTCCTGCTAAGGGAGATAATTAACTGCAACTTCATTAGCATCTACAAAGACAAGCTTCCTCATTAGAAGTGAAGAAGAAAAGGGCATGATATAATTTAATTAACATAGCATCAATTCCTAGCCAAATTTGAAGCACAGATTTTGTAGGTATTTTTACATCAGATTCAGATTCATCTACATTTCTTTCTTGTTTGTGTATGTGTATGTTTGTGTGGATTTTTGTTTTGTTTTGTTGCTTTATATTTTAGAATTCTTAAGGAGCATCTTGGGGAACAGGAAGTTTCCATCTCATTAATTGTGGACTCAGTGGAAGAAGGTGACTTGGGAAATTACTCCTGTTATGTTGAAAATGGAAATGGACGTCGACACGCTAGTGTTCTCCTTCATAAACGGGGTGAGTGTAACCTTCTAAGCTTGAGTGATCAACTGAATGTATGATGGGAGAAAAATCATTGAGAACCAAGAAACAAATTAAATTTTGTTTTTCTCCACAAAGTTATCCTAAATAAAAGAATCATATTTGCATTAGAGCCACCAAGGCAAACAGCACAGTGCATGGGCAAGTAACTCAGTCTCTAAAATCAAATTTGGATTCCTTGCTCTTCGTTAATATCAACTGTATAACTTAGGGCAAAGCATTTAACTTCCCTAAGCTCTAGTTTTCTGATATATACAATGGGGGAAATAATAGTATCGACTCCTCAGTATGTTGTAAGAATAAAATAAGACAAAAATGTGAAGAGCTAGACAGAGCCTATACAAGGAAAGTTGTCGAATGCTATTTATTATTATTAGAAATAGATATTAGGGGCCAGGCGCAGTGGCTCATGCCTGTAATCCCAGCACTTTGGAAGGCCAAAGCAGGTAGATCACTTGGGGTTAGGAGTTCAAGACCAGCCTGGCCAACATTCCAACATTGTGGCCGGTATTCTCTAGTAAAAATACAAATATTAGCCGGTGGTAATGGTGTGAGCCTATAATCCCAGCTACTAGGAAGGCTGAGGCAGGAGAATCACTTGAGTCTGGGAGGTGGAGGTTACAGTGAGCTGAGATTGCGCCACTGCACTCCAGTCTGGGTGACAGAGTGAGACCCTGTTTCAAAAAAAACCCAAAAAAACAAAAAAAGAAAAGAAATAGATACTAGGTTCTTAAAAATAATAATAATAAAAAAAACCTAAATGGTTTTAAGTCAAAGATTGTGTTTCTTAGTGGAAGTTTGCTCCTTTAGTACAAGAACTGTCTGGTGAATTCCCCACTGCAATATTTTTTGGCATGTTCTTTCTGCCTCAGATAACTTTTATATGTGTAACATCCTCCCATGATGAATAATAATGCATTTTTAAGTAAGATAGGTTGTGGGTGAGTTTAATATCTGGGGCCTCTATAGAACCCCATCACCTTTTGGATAGGCTTAAATGCATTTAAATGTATATTGAATTGTTTAAAATAAGAGACAACTGTAAAATGTGAGCCATACCTGTTAGTAAAATTATTTATGTATATTACAAGAGAAAACCATATTTTTCTACATTATGCTAAGTTAAAACTTTCTACTCTGTGGAACAAGCTCACTTGATGTTCACTTACTCAGCAAATTTACAACGATTTTAATTTCAAAGCCCGTGTTTAATCCTAGACTCTTTGAGGTTTGAAAAGAAAGAGAACATTGAAGGCTGTTCCTGTACTTTATTGGGCAATAGATTCCCTTTGAATAATATTACTGAATGCTATTAAAATAGACACCTCTGTTGTCAAGGTGACTATGATACTAAAATAGTCTACTTTTTAGGGATGTGAGTCAAGAGGAAAGGTATGCAGCAGATAGCAATATGATTGTTTCTTTCTATAGTTTAGTACATGGCCAATGAAGGAAGGGATTTTAGTAGAAATGTCATACACATACAAGGACAGAAATAGCTTCTCATAGTTAAAAGCAACTTAAGTGTTGTGTAATGGAACTTCTTATCCTACCATATCATCTTCTGAAGTGATCTATCAGCTTATAATGGATCACATTCCCTCTCAAGGAAGCCCATTTTATCTTTAGAAAAATCTGTTAGAAAGCATTTCCATTTCACTGTCTGTCTACCCATTGACCCTAGTTCTGTACTTTTAATGATTCTTCGCCAGGACAGCCCTTCAAATGTTTGATGACAGTCACCATGAGCCTCTGGACCTTTACTTCACTAGTTTCAGCCAGCAGTCACCATAAGCTGCTGAACTTTTACTTCACTAGATACAGCCTCTTTAGCTTCTTTTACTCATTCTTCACTTGTATTAGTGAAATACTTTCACCATTCTGGTCACTCCATTGAATGTGCTATAATTAAAGGGTTTGAATTATTTCTCAAAAATGGAGTTAGGGGAGAGAAGATATAGGGCACATAAAAATGTGTGGACTTGGACAACATATATTTCCTTTTGGGGCAAGGGGTAATAGTTAAGTAGGAATCGAAGGAGAAGCGGGGGGAAATGAATTGTATCTAAGGATAAAACTATTAAAGCTCTGGTTTTGCAGAGAGGCACACAGCCAAGAAGGGATCAAACAACCTCCAGGCTATTTTTAGCATATGTAGCTTAAGGTTAAGTTGCCCAAAGCTATGAAACCTTCCATTTCCAGAAAAACTAAATTGAGAATCAAGAAAATTATTTGAAATTTTTTCCAGTAATATTTGATTCCCTAAACGTGAAAAAAAAAATGTGGTCAATGTTAGAGTATTCTTCAATACTTAAGTCTTTTGGTATGTTTTTCAAATATGCATTTATGCCAACAGAATTTTATTTTTTTTTTTTGAGATGGAGTTTCGCTGTTGTTACCCAGGTTGGAGTGCAATGGCGCAATCTCGGCTCACCGCAACCTTCACCTCCTGGGTTCAAGCAATTCTCCTGCCTCAGCCTCCCGAGTAGTTGGGACTAGAGGCATGCACCACCATGCCCAGCTAATTTTTGTATTTTTAGTAGAGACGGGGTTTCACCACGTTGACCAGGATGGTCTCGATCTCTTGACCTCTTGATCCACCCGCCTCGGCCTCCCAAAGTGCTGGGATTATAGGTGTGAGCCACTGTGCCCGGCCCAGAATTTTATTCTTAAGAAATAAAAGCATTAACAAGCCAAAAGAAAAAAAGTCCTTCCAAGACCTGTACTCCAAAAGTTCCTCTTAAATTGAATGTAGCCTTCCTTCTAAGGGAGCTGCAGCAAATGAGTTATCAATTCACAAAGAAACCAATGGGTGCAAATTCCTGCTCTTGAGGGATTCATGATTATGTGGAATGATCTATCCCCCTCATCTTGGTGGGAAAAAAAGGGCTTTCATTCACATATGACATAACCTGAACTTCACCAGCCCTGCAAGGTTCAGGAGAACAGGACACAGCATGTAAGAACTGATAGGTTTAGGACTTTGATCATAGAGTCCCTAAAAAGTCAAATGTCTTTCATGCTAGCAATGATGTAATTATCAGGTGGGTTGCTATATTACTCAGAATACTAAGGCTTAGATAAGGAACTGGGAGGCTTCACTATTAATTATATTTTTCTGCCATTGACTCATAATATCCTTAACTTACAAGCCTTCAAAGCCTTCCCTTTTAAAACCTCCCTAGAGAGACATGTTCAAACATTTGTTGAATACTGATCTTGTACACCACAAGCTGTCATTGCTTCTGACAGGGAAACCTTCCAGGACATTCCTTTGCCGAAGTTATCTAAGCAATTTTTCCTTCACTGTTACCTTTTGTTCAGTATCATTGACATAATAAAATGATTTCAGAGCCCTCCAATGAATGGTATGGATTCTTTGAAACATTGCTCCCTTGTATCAAATGTGTCTTCCTTAATGCCAAGGGGTTACTATAATAAATAATTCAGCTATCTTTGAGCTAGGCTATGTTCTGGGTCAGCCTTTTATCTTCATAAAAGAATCATAATTCCATGAAAGCTTGCTAAAAATCTACCAAGAATTTGACCATAGAAAAACCTTTTTTGAGAATATTCAAAGTTGCCAATTCCTACAGCCAGGAAAGGTACTAGGATCATCAGAATCTCACTGGACATGCAATATAGATATATTTCACTTACTTTTCAGAGCACTAGAATATGCAGGGAGACAAGGACAGAGAATGAAAGGGCAAGACCCATGTGCCATATTGGTTTATGATTGCCCTGCTCCTTACTCTTCACTCCTGCCAGAGCTTCTATTCAGTCTTCTTTGCTAGTCCCTGGCCTGGCAAGCTTGAGCATTAGATCCTGACTTCAAAAATAATCAAAGTTAAGCATTGACAAATTAGATACTGAGTTATTTCTTCTTGTTATTGCCCGTACTTGATTGAATTCCATGTCTGAGTCTCTGAATCTTTTACCCAGATACACTTTCTGATTGCTACTGCCTGTCTCAACATGCACTGAACACTGACATTCAGTTTTCCTCCAAAGCTCTGATCTTTCCTTTTCACTCCATTTTTTACATTTTCCATTTTTCTGACACAAACGATACTACAGGTAGATACCTAGCAGCTGTGCTCTGACCTCAGGCCTAGACATTCTTGTACCCATCAGGCTGTCTCAGATTCCTTATTCACTCTCTGTGGCTTCTGTCTACACTTTCATTCTGAATGACCTCACAGTGTAGACATGTTTAATATCTTCATGGTTAAGGGCATGGACTTAGGAGTAAGGCTGGCTGTGCTCAAAACCCAACTCTGTTCTTACTAGCTGTGCTGTCTGGGGCAAATAGCCTGATCACTTTGAGACTCAAATTTCTCTCCTATAAAATGGGAATAACAATAAGATCTCTCACATAGAGCAGCTGTGAGGATTCAATGAACTCATATGTGTAAATACTTATCACAATGTCTAGCACATACTTAGCACCCCAAAAATGTTAACAAGCTATTACAAGATTTCCTTGCTCTAATTATGTGATACTCTGGGTAATGAAGGATGCAGCAACTGTGTGTTCTATTAAAAACCCCCTCAGTTCTAATTCATCTTTCATTAAAATCATCAGCTTTAGCTCCAGCAATTTTGTTCCATCAATTCTAAATTTGACTTTATAATAGATTTACTTTGGTTTGAATGTACTGTCCTAAAGAATAATGTTGATTATTTATTCATGCATTTAATGATGACTAAGAACCTACTATGTGCCTGGCACTGTGCTAGCCAAAGTTACAGGCATGAAAATTAAAAATAAATGAACAGGAAATAAGGACCAATATAATTTGGAATGCCATCAACTACTTTTTAAATTACACTGATATTAAACATTCCTAATGTATGATTGTGCTTTCCTAGTGAATGTTTCACTTTGTCACATTGGGGATGTTCATTTGCAATCCTGCTCTGAAGGGTTATGTTTACTTATATGGATTACAATAATATGGCAATTCATTAAT